AAATAATAAAATTTAAATTATATTATTGATTGTTGTAAATTAAAATTAGAATCTTGATCAATGTAAATTAAAATTATTATCTTAATTAATTATTATACTTGACATAGAATTTAAATTTCAAAAATAAAATATTACAAAAAGACAAAAATATATATACTAAATTTAACATTTTTTAAAAGTTTAGGGATAATTTGTCAACCGCCAAAAAGAATTCCGTTAGCCAACTAACGGAATGTTTGTTAAGTAGACCAATTTAAAACAAAATTGATAATTTATAGATCATTTAAAAAAAATGTTTCTAAACTAAACTAAAATAGACTATATAATTAATAAATTATTTATTGAATTTAGCCGACCAAAACTAATAGGTCCTCATTAATACGGTTAACTCTAATGGGTTAAATATTCAAAATGGTCCCGTGCTTTTCTATTTTATCTTTTAATAACTTCAAAATACTTGTTAAACCTATTTTTAGGACGCACAACTAAAAATTAATTTTAATTAACTAAAATAAATTATTAATTAACTATTACAATATATTTAATTTGAGGAAAATAAAAAAGAGAAGAGAGAATGGAATGGAAGATGTTATGTCCCTCCATTTTCCTTCATTTTCCTTCCTTTATCGCCCATCATTTAAAAAAGTAAATAAATTAAAAATAAATAAATAGAGCAAAGGACTTCTTTTGCATTTTCTCTCTTCCAATTTTTTTAATAACTAAATAGAAGATTTTTTTTTCTCTACTCCTTTCTCTTTCATTCCCTTCGATTCAAAAATACTATTAAATAATTTTGTTAAACATTAATTAATCATTAAGTAAATTTTTAATTTTTAATTTATTAATTAAATAACGTAATCTTTTATTTTTATTTATTCTAAAAAAGATGATGAATTTGTGAACCTGATAGTACCTCTATCGTCTTTCTCCATCCTCCCTTTCTCTTTCCTTTGTTCTTTTTTTACTTAATTAATTGATATATTTAATTTGTTATAGTTCCAAAAATAATAATGTAATTTTTTATAATAACCCAAATAAATGTCACACAAAATTAAAATTAAAATTAAAATTTTAGTACTATAAAAAATTAACTTTTAGTTGTAGGTCCCATAAAATTATCACATCTATACAACAAATAAGTTTAAGAAGTGTTTAGAGGTTATTAAAAATTTTAGAGTCATTAAAAGAAAAAATAAAAAAGTTATAGACCACTTTGAATATTAAGTAATTAGAGTTAACAGCGTTGATGACTGATTTTATAGGCTTAAAAGTGCCCATCTAATTGGGACTTTATTTAAGAATTTTAATGATTTTGAGACCTTATTTGAGTGCAATAAAACTTTAGAGTTTCAATTGTAAATTAACTAAAATTTTAAGGCTCTATTCAATCCTTAACCCCTCTGTTAAAGCATGAAAATTTAGTATTGGAAAAATTTTAAAAATTATGTGAATTAAATATAAAAATAATACTATACTTATTGATA